GAGAAAGAGAAGTTAAAACTGGAAGGACAGAAAACACAACGACACATTCCCAACCTGAGAAGAATCCAAAGAAAATCTACATCAGATTTTAGAGGAGACAAGAGCAGAGTTTGTTAGTGAAGCTTCATCAGGACCTCCTGGAGATTTACCAACTTTACAAACTTTTTAATGACGTGCAGTAAACTCCACATATTATATATATATAAATATACCGTATATCGTATATGAGACTTTTGATGTCCTGTATTGCAGAATACGGAGTTTGAATTAACACTGCTTTTCTTATTGTAAACATATGTTATTCAGACTATGTATGTTTTCGTATATATTTGAATTTAAAATGTACTGTCTTTAACCAGTGTGACTGTAGCGGCATGCGCTGCGAAAAATAAATAGCTTTTAAATAGGAGTATAAATTCACTTTTTCTTCAGTAGTCTATTTGCACCATAATGACATGCATATATAAAAAAGATGCACACTAGGTCCAGCTTATCTGCTACCCTTAAATGTTGAAAACAGGTTCTGTATGTTGAATAAAATACAATCTTTTGGAGACATGAATCATAAAAGCCATACACAGTTGCAATATTTTTTATAATGGGACAATTTGCTGACAATGTATTTTTTCATTCTTAAATATTTATCTCCCAACTCCTTATCTTTTTCATAATGTAATAACTTATCAAATAGTTGTATTCACTGTTATTTCTCTCAAACAACAGTTGGTTTCCTACCAGCCGACCTCCATGGGTAAACGCTGGCCTTCCGAACAACGGCACAGAGAGAAAAAAGGGGGAGCGGGAGGAGAAACTCGAGTGTTTTGAAACACACTTTCACTTCCCATAGTGGAAGGTTATTTTCATCCTTTCGACGAGTTTCTATTTTTTTCTCTCCATCGTCCTATTCCTACGGGGAAAAGCAGGGGCTTTCAGATAAGACACACAGACACAAACATAACGGACTCAACTCAACTTCAGTTGCTTTTCAGTTTATTTGGTCTCTCAGTATGATCTTAGAAAAAAGTGTATCCTCATGTGTGTATTTCAGGACAAAATGTAAACAAGAAAAGATTTAGATTATCATATTTTTAAGAAATAGGCCTTTTTCAAAGCTTTAACCTGGAAATGCTTTATTTTTTTTAGCCTTTATTTATACAGGTGTAAAATCTCATTGAGACAGGACACTAAACACAGAACACAGAGGCAACACTAAAGTACAACATCGTAAAAAAGTAGTCATTGAAATCCATATACAGTAGTCAGATATAGCAGTGTGTCCCACAGATGACTTCTCCAGCTTTTTTAAAATTAGTTTAAAATCCGTGATGGGTATCAAACTGTACGTTATATCCAAACGTATGCCATATTTCACTATAAAAAGAGTTTTTGCTAAAGTTGAACTTTCTCCAAATCGTTGTATCATAACGTTCTCTGGGCAGAAATTGCTAAGCTCAGCTTTGGGTCCATTTATAGTACAATTTAAGTTTTAATTGTGATAGACAATTAACACAAAGTTCCCAACAGAGATTAGTTTGTGTAAAAAAACTCTTGTTTGTTTTGAGGGTTAAGTTATAGGCTGTTTTGCTTCTCTAAAATGGGAACCAAGCCAACATCGGAACACCTGGCAAAGGATGATGAAGGATTCTCTAGAGACACAGTGCCACTAAGATTGGGACCGGAGCCCCCAAAAAAGCAAACTGTCAGTCCTTCTTCTTTGACCTTGTGTTAAGATGAAACTTCAGTTCGAGATTTTCTTGAGACGGTCAGATGTGCATTCAGCTCTGCAGTCTTTCTTGTGTGTGTGTGTGTGTGTGTGTGTGTGTGTGTGTGTGTGTGTGTGTGTGTGTGTGTGTGTGTGTGTGTGTGTGTGTGTGTGTGTGTGTGTGTGTGTGTGTGTGTGTGTGTGTGTGTGTGTGTGTGTGTGTGTGTGTGTGTGTGTGTGTGTGTGTGTGTGTGTACGTCGTACTACGTACGTACGTTAGTACGACGTTTGACACCACGTTCTCAGAGGAGCCACTATATCAACCCTCAAACACAGCAACCCACCTCTGTTAATGCGTACATATAAACACACCCATAAAATACGGTACTAGCTACAAACAAAGAGCCACAATCCTGCTTAAAGGCACACACACACACACACACACACATTTATATATATATATATACCATATTAATATTTTTATATTTCTCTCCCGCCACTAACTCAGATAGACAACAAAGCAGTTTGAATATACACACCTTTTTTATACATTTAGTTTTGAAAAATCTATTTATTTTTTCTTTATTCTGACTTTTTACTTTGAATTCTTAACTCGACCTCTGAGAAGATTTCTAAAATGATGCCAGGCTAAGCTAAGATACATTTTCATCTGTAATTCCCAATAATTATTTATTACTGCTTGTCTCAATTTGTGAAAGCTTGTCATGGAGAATCCTGAGGTAGAGGATCTAGAGTAAGACTAGTAACTTGGACATTATTATTTAAATCAGCATTGTTCCCATGTGGTTCTACCATTACCTTTACAACATCTGCAGAGTCTCTTTCTTTTAACTGTTGCTGCAGTTCAGGGCTGCTGATGGAGCAACGATGAGAATCTCTCAGCAGCTAAACGCTCACTCTGATAAGAGGAGACACACGGAACAGACTGTTTCAGCTGCTTGTCACTGTGTGTTGTTATGGTGCTGATACCCTGCGCTGTTTGTCAGGGAGCTCGCTTTACTCTGGGTGGCCTCCATGTGGCAGAAGTAGTAGTATGAAAAATATGGCTTTGTTTTTGTCTGCTTGATCTCTTTTTCACACATTGCGTCATGCCTCTGGTCAAATGTCATATTCACAATTTACAGTCATGCTGTGTTGAAAGGAGACTTACAATGGGTTTTCCCTTTCCTGTAGTGTGTTATATAGGTTTTTGTGCATGTCAATGGTCGGCAAAGGGTAACATCTCAAAGTTCCCTGCCGAGGGATTTTCTCTCCAACATGTAGAACTGAGAACACACACACACACATACATTTGGATGCACTTAACACAGTGTTCATGCAATGACGGTATAACACATAACCTGGCTCATCATCAGATGACTCATTATGAGAATGTAATAGTTTATTGCATGAGACATGAAGCGTGCCGATAAGACAGGAGAGGCTCCATCTCTCGGTACAGAAGACAGAGAGGAATCTGTTGAATGCCTCGAGCCTTTGAAATTCCTCTTTTGATAAGAATTAGAAAATGAAACAAACTCCATCATGACGTCCTTAGTATAAAAAAAATGAATTTGCATAAAAACTGCATTAATAATATGTTATCTGAGGTAGACTTTCAGACTTTTTTATAATGACAGCTTGTTTTTCTCTGTGTGTGTGAGTGTGACTACTGAAATATGCCCATAACTGCACTATTTTACCTGAGAGAGCATGGATTGGTCAGTAGTTCACTTAAAAATTGTCTCATGTGAGGGTGGAAATCCATCAAGTTTTTAAATCAAAATGACGGTTTATGCCCCAGAATGCTTATTTCAAGAGAGTGTACACTTCAAGAGTCCTAACTACTTTTTACAATTTAATTTGTGACAACAATTATAGGTCCACCCTTTCTCTGTTCCTGCCAGAATGTCTCCAGGTTTAATATCTGGAGAGTTTTGAGTCTCTTGTTGGGGTCTGATTCACCTGCATTCACAGTTAGATCATCTCATAACTGATAGTGTTACTGAAGACGCCGGAGCAAGAATTTAACAACATTAATTTAAACAGTTACAAACAATAGATTGTTCTTGAACTCCCATTCATCTCCCAAGGCTTTTCAGGATTTACTCTGAGTTCAGAAGAGAATACACTTCTATAAATAAGTATCAAGCTAAATGAACCAGAGGAACATGATGTGAACTGTTCAACTGAGTGCTGTTCCTCTTTCAGGCTGGTAGGGGTTGCTCTTTTTTTGGAAGACTTGTTTACTACCAGCTTCCTTATTTTGATGTAACTAGCCCGTTTGTATCTCTGCTTGCTCCAGTGATTTCAAAGTTACACCTGACTGTCAGATAGATTAGAATTAGACACTACAGCTGGGAATAATCCACAAGAAATAGGTGATTTCAACTGCTGCTTTATTCTAGTATAGGTGTTGCAGGGGTTATAAGAAACTAGAAATATTGGACATCAAAAAAAGAAAAAGAAATGGCCTCAGTTCTTGTTTAAACCATGAGCAGCAGAACATGTTTTCCTCTGGATCTTAGAGAATAACATTTGGAGTTGTCTTTCCATTCAAATGATTTGTAACCAACCAAGGGGGAAAATGTACGTATAACTCGGGGTTGAGCAGGAGACAAATTAGAAGTCAGGTTCTTAAAATGAACTCATGCTACTTTGAGGCATGTTAAGGTCAAAACCTTTCCCTAAAACGTAAATCAATCATTAATCAATACTAAAATCATGCTGCAGAGGGTTTGGATTGTTTTTTCTGTACATTTCGGGGAGAAACTACATCTATACAAATGTGGAGAAGTACAACAAAGAGACAAAAAATAAATACATCAAACAATTAACTAAACATGTGGAATGTAGAGTGAGAGATGTCATAGTGTGAAAAATACTGTCAAAACAGTCTAATGGATAAATAAACATACAACTTTTTCTTTTTTTTTTTTGTCAGCAGTATTGCACCAGATTAAGGTCATCTAAATAAATAAATGTATTATTAACCAAATAAGGTGAAAACAAAGAAACTAATCAGATATTATATATGTTAGACTATATTATAAAAAGCAGAAATCCTGCATGGGAACACTCATCTGAACTATTAACGTTCAATTTAGATGTTGACTTGACTGAGTTTTTGCTCATTTTTTGTGGTAATTTTCTGTTTTGCACATGTCTGTTACACCCCCTTTTGACAGCTACGGGACCGTCCTTTTTGGACACTTCCTGCTTTTTGAGCTCGAGCTGCAGCGTGCGTGTCCCGGGCTAACAGGCTGGGTGGTTGTTTGTCGCAGCATTGTGTTTGTGTGCATTTAGGACTACAGCTGCTAATGGGACGGACATATAGGAGCCTGTGTCATTATCACCATCTCATTATCGTGTATTTGAACAAGGAGGAAATGAGGCGTAGCGTTCCGCTTTAAGGGTGCAAGGGAGAGGTAAGAAACCCCGGATTCAAACAGGTGTCCGGTCGACTCATATCAGGAGGAAGAGAAAGAAAGGTGACAAAAGGCGCCGGAGGGATATTGGGATTAATTGTCTAGAAAATAGTGCTGTTAATAGGCAAATCAATCCGCTAATTTGAGGACGTGTAATTTTTTTTTTTTAAACCGTGCGCTTTGGTCCAACGGTGATGGAGACCCAACATGGAACCCAGACGAAACCTAGATTTTAATGTCGGAATTATCTTGGTAAAATAAAAAGATAGCTAAACGTGCATCTGTGTTGCTCTCAAGAGGAGGAAGAGGAGGTGGTTGAAGAGGGGAGGCGGTGACTGACGTCCCCCACGGGACAGGCCGAGCGACCCACGCTTCTAACAGGTGTGTCTGAAGAGGGCTCCACTCTGCACCGCCCGTCCTGCCGCTCCGTGCCCCCTCCCTGCCTGCCTCCCGGTCCCTTCTCGTGTCACATTGTTCCTGCAGAAATTGCATCCGAACAGGGGCCGGGTTTGGACTTTAATTCGGCCGTTTTTGGCATCCCCAGTGAGCGCTTATTCTTTTTCTTGTTTCCGTCTCTTCGCAGCTATCCGTTGGTGCGTATAACAGCTGAGCAGGATATCCAAACGGCTAATTTTGAGACGTTAATTTATAAAAAAAACCGGATGGGACTTTGCAGCGTGTTCGTATTTTTTTTGAGGAAAAGAGACAATTTAAAGGGTTTAACTAGTCGAGCTAAAGGGAAGATTTGAAGATTTTGTTGAATTTTTTTCACCATAATTGGAAGGTTTGGACTGATTTTGCCCCCTGGTGAAAAGGCATCGTTGGTACTGTGGTTTCGGCGACGTTCGCTAGCCAAACCGAATCCTGAGATATTTTTTACCGGAAGAACAAAGTGGGCCTTTTAACGGACTATCTTGTTAAAACAAAGTGCACCTCTTTTTATCATGACAACGAGGAAAGCCAACAGTGTGGCGGACACGGTGACTACCTCCACCAGCAGCAGCACCACCACCACCACCAACCACCAGAACCAGCCGAGGAGCCGGAGTCCCAGCAGCGGGGTTCCCGGTGCCGAGGCTGCGGGCGGAGGGGCGGAGATGTTCGGTGCATTTCAGGACTGGTGCCTGCGGACGTACGGGGACACCGGCAAGACCAAGACCGTGACCCGGCGTAAATACAACAAAATCCTCCAGACTCTGGTCCAGGGGGACGAGGAGAACAGCAATGGGGTGTTCCTGCACGAGAAAAGCAACAACCACATCAACGCCAAATTTAAATTCTGGGTCAAGTCCAAGGGCTTCCAGGTTGGGACGCTGCGGGACGAGAAGAACGGGTCATTGGACAGACCGGTGCTGTACGTGCCCATCAAGGCGACGGTTAGTGCATCTTCCTCTTTCACTCTGAGCGGTGTGTGTGTGTGTGTGTGTGTGTCCTGTTCCACGTTGAGTGCGTGTCCATCCAGAAGAGGCTACCCTTATTTGCCTAGAGCAAAAAGGTGTGTGTGTGTGTGTGTGTGTGTGTGTGTGTGTGTGTGTGTGTGTGTGTGTGTGTGTGTGTGTGTGTGTGTGTGAGAACAACATAACTTTTCCTGGCTCATTGCCATGGCTACAGCAGACACCTGTTCCAATACAGAGCTGAGCCTGTTAGTGGTTTTGCACTGCTAGCCTACTTTTTATTTTAAAACCCACATTTTTTTTATGAGCCTGTCCCAGTTGACTGAGAGACAATATACTGGTTAAGCTACAGACAATGTTGTACTAACAATGCACCTTTATTCATCTGGTAATCAATCTGTTAAAAATATACATTTGTGAGTCGTTTTGTGACTGCCAGCCCAGGATATGTTAATTTTAATGAGATGAAACCAAGGAAGGGAAACAACTATTGACATTTAACAGGCTTCAACCCCTCATTCTATAAATATCTACACATCACTACACTTATTTATTCTGTTATGAAAAGGACAATTATAGTAGAGTTTGGTTTAGCACTGCTGGGTGTCCCAACTGAAGTTGATGAATTATCTGTCAATCTTGCCCATCACTAAAAGGGATGATATCACGATTATCTGTCTCATCTTTACTTCTGCCCTCTTTTCATAGTATTGACATTTGACCCCAGAGTTTCCCATGTGACCCATTTTGAGCTACTTAAAACTCAATTCAATCCCTCGAATGTGAGAATTTACTTACTTTTATATCTTTTAGGTTTCTTAGTTTCTGGATTGGTTGTTTCAGAAAACAAGCCAATTTGTGAGGAATTTGTCATCATATTCTGACATGTTACACATGGAAATAATAATAAACAAGTACATTGTTGCATCTTTAAATTTCAATGACAGTCTTTGCTGCCCATGACTCATCATCAAGCATTTCATCTACTGTATATTTGTCTTTTTTTTTATGAAAATGTGTTTTGTCTGTTCTAACATCATGACTTTTGCTGTGATTCTAAGCAGAATCCTCTCTATTTCCAGCCATAAGTTGGTAATCGTATGTAGCTATTGAAAAAAAGGTGTTGCAGGAGCGTATTTATTGCTTTACTCTTTATTTTTCTCTTGTGGCCTACGCATTGTTGGTGTTTTCAAAAGCAGAGGGCACTTGTTGACAGTGGAGAGCAGTTTGAGTGGGATGACACACAAATATATGAATGAAAGGAAAGAAAATGGTCTTATTTCTGAAATTGCAAAACGCTATTTATATATAGAAGTGATTCAGTCCGTCTGTATTTTCAAACAGATAGTGTGGAGAGCTGGGTCAAAATGATTTGGTTTTATATCTGCAGACTGGAATCAGGGGTTGGTCAGATGGCCACACACACACACACACACACACACACACACACACACACACACACACAGGCAGGTCGATGTGATGCAGGATTGCTGTGGAGATGAGAAGTGTTTGAGGTGCTGGTTGGCATGGTTACCGCTTGGCTAATTTCACCCTGTCCCATATCATTTCATATTCAGATTAATATCAGGAGCATCACAGCCGGGACTGGGAATCCTCTTGCACAGTTTATCTTCTGTTAATCCGTGTGTGTGTGTGTGTGTGTGTGTGTGTGTGTGTGTGTGTGTGTGTGTGTGTGTGTGTGTGTGTGTGTGTGTGTGTGTGTGTGTGTGTGTGTGTGTCATCCTTGGCAGCAGCAGTTTTGTTGAGTCTGTTCAGTATCTGAGGATTGGGCTGTTGAGACTGTAGAGAGAAAGAAATCCCGTGTGTTTTTTCTTGAACTTAAACTGAGTATGCGTCTGTGTTCTGTACCGATGTTGTAAAGAAATCTCCAGAGCATGGATGTTTAAGCTAGTCCTCTTTTAAATTAGGCTATTGTAAGGATCCCCCAGATACAAAAAACAAACATATTTTCTCAATTCCCCTCTAGTGGTATCTAGCAGTGCAGATTGTTTTAGTCACATTTAGTTTGAAACATTTGTCTTTGCTGCCACCTCAATAACAATGGATGTGGTTAGTTTTGAAAATCCAGAGAAATTCAAAATGTCAATGTTTCATAAGGACCGTTTTTGTAAGTGCATAGTTCCAATGAACCATAAACATCACTGTGACACAGAGGGGTGTTGGGGTTGTCCCGTGAAACAGGGACATTTTTTCTTAAAGACCAGCTGCTGTGATTTCATTTTTAAATTACTCTCTGTTCTCCAAGCTTTCATTTAGGACAAAGATGATTTGTGTATCCAGACTGAACCCCTGGTTATCATTTGATAATGAGTCGTTATTGTATGATCAGTTTCTACTTAAAAAAATCAAACAATGGAGCTCTATGGTACAGAGGAAGAATATGAATGAGGTTTCGATGCACAGACAGCACTTGTTAGTAAACATTAGATGTTGGTTTTGGGCTTAACAATAAGACGAATAAATACTATCACTAGTCATTTCTTGAATCCCATATGACCAGTGTATCTGCACAGTTACACAATGAGCAACTTGTCATGCTCATCAGCTTTCCCTGTAAATGCAAAACACAACAGTCAAGGCATGACGTCTTTAGCAATACAGGAAGTAAACATCAGATGACGGTAAATGATATCGACAGCAGGAGTGTGTCATTTTGTGTTTCAAAACTGTCAGTATGTTCGTTTCAAGAAAAATCCATTGTGCAGATTGAAGCTCAAGTCCTCTCATCTCCTACCTGTTGAGCAATGTGAGAAATACATGCCAAACCGTTGAACTACACGGGATCCTAATGCTGTGTTTATGGCTCAAATCAGCATCCTGCTTTCTTTCTGTCTGCGCCCTGCTGAGAGGGGTATGACCTGACTGCAGCAACAGCTGATCAGACACTGTTTACACACTGGTACACAAACAGCGTGTGTGTGGGAGACAAAGAGATGATATCACTCGGCTGAGGTATAAAACAATGTAGGGATGTTTAAATTGGAGACAAAAAGGTTGAGGACACAACAGTATCATTACTCTACCTGAGGAACTTGAGATTGACTTTGGAGCCAGCTCTTAACACATGTAAAACACACAGGTGACACTCATGACAGCTTGGAAGAAATCAGAACAGACACAGGAGGCATATCAGAAGACTCATGAAGAATATTAATCAGGTAAAGTGACAATGAACTGACACTGATTCCTCCCCTTTGTTTGCATTCATTCCTCCCTGTCTGTTATACACACGCTCTTAACCCGTATATTGGCCTTTTGAACGGATTTGCGCTGCCGCTTTATCGTTTTGGCTTTATTTCCAGTTTCATGTTAAGTACTGAATTAATGTCTATACACAGCAGCCCCGACCTTTTGAAAATGATAAGCTCAAGAACTAGTATATGCATCATAGATGTGAAAGTGTGCCAAAGATGCATCTTATGTTTGGAGGATTAGATTGTGTTCTGTACCAAGAGATACAAATATGTATTATCCATGGGATTTATCTTATTTTGTAGAAGCAGTTGCACAGTGCTTATCCCTGCTTCAGCCATTTAAAATGTGCTTTTACCAGTTAAGTATTCTGAACATTCTTACAAACATATCGGCAAATTATTGTCTAAGGAAATAGTACAATTGAATTGATTTGAGTTTTGAACTGAAAAGCATTGTGAGTTTTAAGAATTTAGGATTCAGATTTTATGCTTTTTTTTGGCAATTTATTGACAATCTAAGTATTTAGGTTTGAAAAATACTGGCTGATTATTTGATTCTGAAAGTTAACACGAGTGTTTTCCTTTCTTATATATTTGTTTTGTCAGGAGAACCCATAGTTCTGTACCAATTTGATGACAAAACTGTGAAAATGTTACAACGCTTGTTTTGAACAGCACTGCAAGTACTGTGGGTACCCGGAGGATCGGGAGTAATGACGTAGCATTGATGCGTTAACATTCAAGAGGAAATAAGACATTTTAATTTGATTCTGCTTATACCTAAACTCCTAAAGCACACAAGTTGGCCGGCCCTACTGCTGGATTTCCTCTCTGCTTTCTGTCAGATATCTGATGCTGGTGCACAGTGAACAGTATTCCAACCTTTATAGAGTGCTGTTGTGCTGTATGGGGATGCATCGTTTTCTCTGTATGTTTTGTGGTATCTAGTTGGCATCGAGAAATGGCGAAGTGAATTTTGACTTCAGTGACAGAGGGAACTGGGTGCTTTAAAAACCCACGAATACATCTAAATTCTTGTTTCTTATTGGCCTTCAGGTACCTGTTACAGTTTTATAATGAGACATCTCAACCATTTCTCCTCCACAGTTTGATTAGATTTCTAAATCAGACCACAAGGTATATTAAACTGCCAGGTATCCATAGCAACAGTACTTTGAATTCATGCTATGTTAACAGTTAACTATAAACATGACTATTTGAACACAGCTTGTGTTCTTCCTTTGATAACTCGCCATGAAATTAAGAGAGGTAACACACTGTTTCAGAAAAGGACCGAAGCGTTATGGAGTCTAACATGATGCTTTGTGTTCGGCTGCCTCAAGGTGCTGTTGTGTTTTTATTTTTTTTCAAGTTCAGCCAGGGTCGTGTGCTATATTTCATCATCCTCTTCAGTTCACTACCACTAAGTAAATATGGCAAGTTATTAAAAATGAGGGTATGTAACACAAGTTCACTAAAATGGCTGCTGGTGGGGAAGCTACCCTTCAGTTAATTCAGGAGGGCACTTTTTAATTAGCATAATTAGTAGTGAAACCGCCCATTTTGCCTGTGGGGGTTTTGGTTTAAGACTCGGAAGAGAATCTGGCCAGAAGGAACATGTACAGCCCTTTTTAATGTAAAATATTGTAACACATACACCATCAGAAATGTGTATATATGTGGTGTGTGTCTTGAGACTATCCATGTCTTTATAATCATGACCTATTATGGTTTTGGCTTTCTGTGGAGTATCTGTGAGAAAATGTT